CGATTTAAACTATTTTCCAACCGCTTTATGACTGCGTAATAAAATACACAGGTACTTTCCTTTTATCGCGAGTCACAGCTACCTGTCGCATCATTCTTAATATTACGCAACAAAGCTGCTATAATTGACGTAGCATTTTTTTTTTCAACTTTTATAAAATTAAATAAATATCTTTCTCGTGGTTACTTACAATATATTTTAATCGTGTATATTATCAGTTTTTAGGGCTAAACGGTCTGTATTAGTTTAGGCATAAATATATTGCATGTTATAATCAATTAAAATAACATTTAAAAAAAGGCAACCACTCTATTGTGTATATTTAAGAGCACTTATCATCATTGAGTAACTAGGCATTGTAATGAGACTGTAATAAATCTGAATTAATTACAGAAATATTTTGCTTGTATACAATTAAAAACAATTTTAAAAATAATCAAATCTTTTAATTTATAATTTTGTCAACATTTTAATGTAAAACGTTTATAAAAAAAAAATAATGATTATATTTTTAATATTTTTTAATTTTAGTAAAAAAAACTTGGGTTAAATTAAAACTTGTTTTAAATTTACAAGTTGTTTTAATCATAAACAAAAATTTTACCTTACAAAAATTAACATTTTAAAATTAAAAATAAGATACTTTAAAATGTATAAATTACGAGTATAATATATAAATTACTTAAAAAGAGCCATAGTATTTTTGAAATTATGGTATGTCTAAAATAAAAATTTCAATTTCCGTTTATATTTTATCTCGAACATATTTTACTTGGAAAATTCCACTTTTAACATGTACTAACCAGATTTAATTTTTTATCAGAAACTTTCCACATAATTGAAAATCAGAGCATTTTTTCTATTATAAAAACTAAAAAAATTTACTTAAGCAAAAGTAATTAGTATTTATATATAGATGGATTTTTTTATCCTTCACTGCTAGTTAAAAATAATAAGTAATAAATAAATTATTTATGTTTGATAATTAAAACTATTTAACTACGTAGAACACATTCATATATAATAGATAAGCGTGATAAAAATATGGTGAAATTGATTTTATACCTTTAACCCGTACCCTGTTTATGTAATAAATTAATAATATTATATTCAATGGAATACCGATTAGAATCCAAATCAATTTTTTTTCAAATTATTTTGAAAATTATTATCATAATATTGGTGCTTATTTGTGAAAGAAATTCAAATCTTGCCGCAGTGCAGTGACCAGACAGTTATTTTATGACCGAATAAATTACGTATAATAAATGAGTTTCAAGACCCTTGTAATAAAGTGATATTCAAAATTGTAACTGCACTGTTTGAAGTATGAAACATTATAGCGAAGGATAATATTATCTACGTATTTACATTATTAAGTAGATCAAGATGCCTCCTAATGTGTGTATAGACATTTGTTATATTATTATCACTGATTATATATAAATCAATGTTATTATAATACATGCGATTACGGTGGCCTCGCGTTCACTTATTCGTATCAGGACGAAAATTTCGTGAATATATACCTATGTATAATTTAATATTGTACACAGCTCTCTATGACGTTGTATTATTTTTTGTATTCTCTTAAATAATATTATTATCCCGCTATCATCTTGTCTCTATTTTTTGTAATTTTATTTATATTTACTTTTACGATAATATTTTCTCTTGTAGTTTACCGTTTGATTTATGCGTTTCCGTCGTGTAGGCATAGGTTCATATGTATAACATTATACGCTCAGATTTCATGGCCGATAAGTATGCTATATGTATACATTATGTATTGGACGTCGTATTATATAGAGTGTGTCAGTGGCCCCTAAACTGAAAACCTTTTAAATGCGTTTTGTACGAGACCACTTATTAATGCTAAACTATTCGATGTTATAGTAGAATAACTGAAAAAAAATCTTTCCAGCCGATATCGACTTTCTTAGAAATGAATAAATTAAATAAAAACAATTTGGTACACAAGAATTTACTCATCATCAAAATATTTATTTGAGTATAATACACTACCTATATAAACCATCCCATTAGAATATATTTGTACTGAACCATTATACATTTCGACTTATCTATTCACGATATTTATGTATTAAAGACTACGCATGATTTAGGTAATTACCTATTAAGAATATTGTCGATGTCTAGACGTAAATAATTTTTAAGACTTAATCGAAATTAATTATCATTAAAACTACAAAAAGAACATAGCGTATAAAATAAAAAATGAAGCAATTCGATTTAAAAATATCATACACTATACGAGTATGTATTTAATATTTATACAGCCACGTTAATATACATTTTTTTTAAAGAAAACCGTGAAGTGTAAACTACTATTATTATTAATTTGTAAATAAAAAGTGAAAATGTCAAATTTTTAATTGGAAACATTTATTTAGACAATTAAATTTAAAGTATATTATATGCACACAGTGATATACATAACTATCACAGTACTGCATAAATAATATAGTAATGATGAAAACAATTTATAATAATATATGGCTTATTAATTAAAAATTAAATGGAATGCCTAAAATTTAAAATGAAACAAAATAATTGTATAAACTGAATAATGTATAATACATAAAAACACAAATAACAATAGAATAATATTAAGTTAGGTATTATTTTAAACTTTAAAATTTAAAGTGACATATATTATTACAACCCTCCTTTATTTCCAAAGAATTAATTTAAATAAATCATAAACGCTACACTCCGTAAAAACATACAAAAATTTAAATGTTACTCGATATATAATAATTAATAATAATATAGTTATTTATATAATAGTATAGGTACTACTATTTTAATATTAATTATTATCACCTGTTATAATGTAAAAGAAAACCTATAAATTCTCTACCAGAATGTACCTTACCGATTATACCTATAATATTATATTCCGGAATGCATTTATTTTTTGTTTATAAATAAATACAACGAAGCCACACAAAATATTGTTAAGATCTAACTAATAATTGAATATTTTATATGAAGTAAATAATATTTTACTTGAATATTTCAATACGAATGATAAAAGAGAAATGAAAATTATGTATTTATAATTTATAACCTGCAGACTAATCTATAGCTTATTCTCCATGGCTACACAGTAGGAGTTAGGTAGGTAACTAATTCAAGTAAAATTTTAATTAGATGATTTAGTTTTGAGAGTGTTCCTACGATAAGTCCAAGGATATCTACCAATTTTCTAAATCTTCAAAACAGTTATCATTCCTTTAATTAACTGTACGTCTGGTTCATTGAAACAATTATTGTTCTATTATTAATATTAAAATAGCAAAATTTGCATTCGATAGAAAACATAGTTTTCAGTATATTTCTGATAAAAAAAATAAATTAGTAAGATCATTGATTCAAGTCTACATTACCTTTGTATGTTCCCAATCTCGGTTTGCGAGTGACGATTATATTAATATGTTTTTAATCCTTGAGAGTATTAGTATAGAACAAACACAGTAAGTGTGTATAGTTATCTCATTTCATCACAAATCTGAAAAATTAATGTAGGTTTAGTTATTTCAACCTCTATACGAAAATTACATTTTTTTTTTGAAACTAAAATGTTTCTCCATAACGGCTTATAGCTGTAATTTTTACAGTAATTTTTATATCCATAAATCATAATTATGGTCGTCTGCAGTACAACAAGTTGGTAGAGTTGTCCCCTCTTCATACTATTCTTAAAGTTAAGTGTTTTAACTGTCATAAATCATAACAAAAGTATAATATTATGAATCACGACATGAATAGTACCTATTCAACAAATCAATAAGTATTAGATTTATGTATACTTTTTTATTTATACATAAAGAAGTTACTAGTTATGTTAAAATGTATAACAACAAGTTAATATTACTTTATTATGTTATGATTCTTTAAGTTTTAATTTGTTCACTACATCTATTTAAGTTTTTAACAAGATTATTATTACTATTAAAATTTATTAAATAATATAAGTTAGAACACTACACTTAACTTATAACTCATAAGAATAGTGGATCTCAATAAACAAGCCAAATTAGTTGAAAATTATTTTAGTTGTTTTCTGTTAGTTCATAAAAATACCTTTATCTAAAAAAATCATAATATTAAAAAAGTCAAAAAAATATCTAGCAAAAGCTCTTGCTTATTATTAATATATATTGTTATTTTGTTCTTTGCTTTTAAAAGAAACATAATTATATAGGTATAATTTTTAATGGTTTAGATGAAAAACAGTAAAAAAATCATGAAAACCAGTAATAATTTATTGAAATTAAAATGTATAGGTAATGTAAATAACTTTAAATGAATGAGACATAAGTGTACAGTATAGTATAATATAGTAATAACAATAATTATTATACAATTTATTCAACCGATACAACTATGTAAAAAAAAACTATAATTGTACTATTAATCAATAATGTAATAAACATTAAAAAAAAAAAATACCTTTTTAATTTCGAATAATTCGAGCACAGTTAATAAGTTGAATGAATATAATATGTATACACGGTAGAAATATTTTTAACGTATTAACATATAATTTTATTGTATTAATATTCTATGGGGTGATACATATTAAAAAAAAAAAAATAAATAGATGCAGTGCGAAGAAAACTAGTTGTGGGCGGATCGTATAGCGGCCGGTCGGATTTTATATTATGATGGGTATCATATAATATTATATTAATATAATACGTTATGTTTATGATATGTTGCATTATCTTTTTTTATTTTGTAGTAAGGACAATCAATCTTTTCAGAATGTTTAACTTTCAAATATTATATTTATACATGTGTTATGTGCACATACACACACATACGCACATACAATATTATAATTGTCCGGCTGTGACGGAGTGGACAAGTAGGATATTTTCTCGGACTGTCATCGGGTGAATAAATTGTAAAAATATAGTATTCATTGTGTATAAAAAAAAAATAAAAACGAATACATTATATGAATGTGGATGTGATAACAAGATATGTATCAAATCATATGAATAAGTGTAAAATGTCGATTATTCCACTAAGCTCGATATTCCAGAATCAGACTCATAATTGTCTTCTTCCATAGCCTCATCGGCCTCCATTTCATTCTCATCGTCAGTGTCTAACATATTTATGTCTCTGGCGCAATCGTTGCCCGAGTCTATAGCCTGGTCAGTGTGATTGTCCTCGTCGCTGTAATAATCGAGATATACCTCTATTATTGGTTGCAAGATCTGGTTTTTATTATATTTGTAACTCCGGATTACTTTGCTTCGCATCCACAAAGGAATCGAAGCGAGAACCTCGTCGGTTATACGATTCTTGTCGTCTGTCGGAGCCTCATCGATTGTACGAGCATTGTCGGCTGTACGAGCCTCATCGGTCATAATGTGATCTTTGTCGGCTGTATGAGCTTTATCAGCTATTGAACGAGAGCGTTTCACAGGGCGATGGTCAACCATAAAACTGTCACTCGGTTGGGGGCGGCGGATTCCTCTTCCATTTCCTCTTACCGCTTCCGGATTTCTGTTGGGCATTGCATCCTGTTCGATGTCATTGTGGTTATAATCTTGGGTGTAAAGAGGTCGTGACTCGGACATCTGTGGTAAAATATAAAATATATAATTAATGCCGTATGTAAGGAAGCGGGAAAAAGCAAATTAAGCTACACTTGTAGTACGATAACGCCTCGACATTTATTTTGAATAACGATACAACGTCAATCATTTTATTTGAAAATATTTCAATTTTCTGAACCAAATACTAGAAAATAGTATATCTTTAATGTCTACTATGCATTCAATCATTACTTACCTATTTGTTGTTACAATTAAGTTGATGATAATTGTGTAGGTACCAAATACATTTTACTTAGCTATAATTAAGTGTCATTATTATAATATAACTAATTATACAAGAACACATAATTAGAACTTAAAATGTAATGATAAATCAGTGACGATATAGATAATAAACTAATTAACCATTTCTTTTTTTTAAATAAGGCAAGAAAATAAGTTTTCAAAATGTTATGATACATCAATATTTAATCTAGAATAGAAAAATGTTAAGACTTTTAAATTCTTATTTATAATATAATAAACCATTTTTATGTGTAAAAAATTAAAAGAGAAATTTTTTTCGTAAAAAATACATATTGTAAAACTTATTATAAAATACCTTTTTTTCGTTAAATCTGCTATAGATTTGGTGACTAGTATTACACATCATATTATATTATAACTACACGATTATTGCCATTTATGTATAACATTATATAAATACGTTGATTTTATAGACATTTTTTTATCGATTGAGAGTGAAACGTCAAGTAAATAATTTATTGAAAACTATTTAAAAGAAAAATGTAATTGTATTTTTTATTTTTTATTCATATTTCTTTACATTATACATTTTTCTACTTAGTTGATGGTATTGTACTATTGTATAATCATATATATTTTAAAGCAAGACCTTAAATAACATTTACTGTTGATACGTAATAAATAACGAGGCTTAACTACATATTTATGTAAAATGCATCTATACGTATACATATAGTGTATATACCAAATGATTACCATGACGTGTCGGCATCAAAAGATTAAAAAGTTTTTATAGACAGAAGTCGCTTTAAATGGTTAAAATGGCATATAAAAAAAAAAAAAAATGAATTACATTATTAAAAAAAAAAAATAAAAAAGGTAGTCGCTACGACGACAGGTTTTGAATACGAGTTTGGACAATTAAAAACGAGACGATAACACCGAATATATACGACGGTGAGCCTAAAATCTTGATCCACTAAACATTTCGAAACATGTTCTAATGTGTAAATATTAAATATATTATTCTTCATTTGTCGTTTATTAACATTATAACATTTATACTATATAGCCATCTAGGTAAATACTATTTATAATATAATAATATATAGATTATATTGTATTTGTATATACAGTGTATGTGTGCGTGCGTGTGTACATTTGTCTATGTATATTATCTTGTATTATATACATTACTACATGCATGGGCGTGCGCATAAGGCTCTACCGGAATATTTTTAGGGCCTAATAAAATGTCCACCAGATACTAATACTAATGGTCGATCAATACATTCGTAGCTAGATTATATTATGTAAGCAAATAATTACATAAAACCATTTAATGGATTTTTTACTATACTGAAATTATTCAGTGTAATAGCAATTACAAGTTGTTCCCGCGAAGGAATATTTTTTAAATTAACAATAGTAAAAAATAACTTAAGAGGTACATCAAGACCGACTCAATAAAGTTTATTATTAATGTTTACTGAATCAAAACTAACATCTAGTAATATTAACATGATCATTGACGAATTCAAAATAGTTATTTCGAAATAGGAGAATTCATTTATAATTCTTTAGTTAAAATTATTACACGATTTAGTTTATAAATATAATATTTTGTATATACAATTGTTTGTTCGTTAAACTGAGTTTTTTAAATTTTGAGTATTGTGTTTTTTTTTTCAGCATAATTTTATTTATATCATTTTATTTTTAACTTAAAAATATATGTCTTGAATATATCACATTAATGTTGTGTGCACATACACTTGATTCTATTTACACAGTTAATTATTAGAATGTATACATTAATGTGTTGGAAAAACAAATTTAATGACCTTGTCCAAGTATTAGGGCATTAATTGTTCCAGACTCGACCGGAAATTGAAGTCTGCGCACGCCTATGACTACATTGATCATATCACTTAAGTGATATATATGTATAATGTGTAAGTATATAATTATAGTATACATATGATATCAGTACGTCACTGCAGTGATAAATTTATGGTAGGTATATCTATAACATGATTATTACTGTCTATCATTATATTCTATCACTGATAGGTATTCATCCATATTAAAGAATGCATTTATATTATGTATGTGTATGTGAAGGATCGGAGTTTACAAATAGATTAATTGGCTCATGAAAAATTAAATTCTTTTTTTATATTAGGTTAAACCTATTGATTATAGAAAATCAAATAGTTATTATAATATATATTTTATATATACATTTGTTTTATAGACATTTTAAATTTTAGTTTTGATAAAATTGGATATTTAAAGAAAGAATTTATATTTTTTCTTTGAACGATTTTAGCTGTTATGTTGTAATTCAAAACAATATTTATAAAATATAAAACTTATAATTATGTACTAAAAGTTTAATAAATAATAATAATATGGTTATTTTAAAATTGTACATAATACATTTTTCAAAATATTTTAATTTATTTTATACAAGATATTTATATTACAAATTTATATAACTATTTACATTGTACATAAATATTGACATTTGACTTTTAAGTCAATAACAATGTATATCAATAATCAATCTTTATAATATTATAAATAGGTATTATATTACATTATATATTATGAGAACAGCTAATGGCCTTAGTTACCGGGCATAAATAAGAAGAATATTATGAGATATCTTAGACAAAAATAAAATCTACCGTATTAATAAATAGATATATTAATATAAACAAGTTGTAAAATAACCTTTGAAAGAGATGGTGACATATCGTCATTTTTGTTCAGAATTATTTTTCGTAGGTATGCAACGATTGAATTTAAATTTTTGACATTCAGCGAGCAGTGACTTTTCAAAAAACGACTTGTGTACACTCAAAATCTACTACCTTTAATAAAACCGAGTGATTTCTCAGTTACAGCATAAACAGTATTTTAATATCAAATTATATGCGATTGTAATTTATATACATTTTTAGATTGTATTACCAACAAGATAGATACTATACAACAAGAAAGGCTGTACTCATAGTCTTATATATGATATAATACTATATGTTTAATACTTTAAATACAGAATAATAGTACACAATATACTGGAAGGCACGACAACAATAATTATTACATTCGAATTTCATTACAAGGAAAAAAATAATATTGATATGTATCTACCAAGAATCCGTGTCGTCACTTAAGCGTATAATGAGAGGTCGCGTTCGGATCATTATTTTATAGCTCGTCCAAGAATGATAGAAATATAGAATGCAATTCAGAATAACAAATGACAAATTTAAACGCGTCTATATTGATTATTAAGAAATAATATGCATGTAAAGATATAAAATATAAATTCTATAATACAGTTTAATATTTTATTACCACTGCAATATTATTTGTTCTAAGCCCTATTGAAAATATTGCGATATAGTATTTCGTGTATAAAATATAAATTGTAACAGATGATGTAATATTATCAAAATTAGGATGTAAAAAACAAAAAATAAGCATACGTTTTGTGCTAAAAATTGGCTAAGTATGCAAATGCATGTAGTTTTCAATAAAAATATTAATGAATATTTTTAAAAACACTTTTGTTTTGAAATAATAATATAATGAATGAAAATTATAACTTTTATAATATATAGGTAATACCTATTAGGTATGTAATGTAATTATTAATAACTTTGCATATATGATCAATAATAATATGAAAAATATGCTTAATTCTCAAATAGTTACTATGCAAAAACATCCAAATATATTAAACGCATAGCTCTGTTAATTATCAAAAAATATTAATAATATAATAATAAATTAAATTATAAAACAAATTACTCTTAAATATGTGATTTAGGACGTTTGTAATAATATACGTGCATTATATACATATTAATATTTTTATTCGAGCCGAGTTTTTTCTTGCATACTTTTTTGAACGTTATAAACTTTTAAAATATCAGCGTGACTCATATACTACATTGATTGACAAACAATTTTATCTAAATGATAATTTTATGATTTAGGTACTTGACATTTTTTGATTTGTTTTTAATGTATTTTATTATAAGTCTTAATAGTGGTCTGAATGTCAACGCTAAGCCCATAATTAAAAATTAATTTAAAATTAATATTTCAAATATCTACACCAAAACTAATAATTTTTGTTTGGCTTTATCTATATTCTGTTAATTTTAAATCAATTGTTGCAGCTAATGCTATTAAAATTTCGATGGAGAAATCGCCTCATTAACTATTAAGAAAATCGAAGGCTCATTAAATTATCTCTACTTAAATAAAACTGCCTATTTTATCAGCTTGTTCAGAGTCCAAAAACAGCCTTCATTTAAAATAAATTATGCGATATCTGTACATAATAAATTATTATATGAATCATGCATACAAGAGCGCTTGTATTAATAACACTAATTAATTACATATAAAGCTTAGGTAGCATATTTACGGATTTTACTTATTATACATGTGTATCAATTATTAAATCGGTGATTAAATGAGTTAAAAATTATAAACTATAAAAAAATATTGTAAGTATGAGTTTAATCAAAAACGTAGTATTTTATCGTTTATAAACACCGGAAATACATATACAAAACATATATGTGTTCGAGTGAGTGATAATCTATGTCGATTATCTATATGTATCTACATTAATTATTAGTTATTACAAATCTAGTTTATAAACTAAAATATGAATCATTTTTTTTATGGGCTAAAGTTAAGCTATTAATCGCTTAAACCAATATTATATTTGGTCAGAGTACATTTTA